CCCGTATGAACAAACGGCGCAGGAGATTGGAAGGATTAGGAGAATAGAGGAGTCTTGGCGAGCGATAGCGTGTCGCGAAAAGTTGCTTTCTGACTAGGGGAGAGCCGACGTGAGGCAGTACGGTGGATTTAACCTCACTGATTTTCTCAAGTTGCTATTCTCGTCCGCTTGGCTGCGTGTCCGTTTCCTCATCATTGGGCCTCTCGAAGCAGGGCCAAGGCCGACAGCCTGGGAAGAAAATGACTTTTGCCTTGCAGCGTGGCAGCGGTTCAATGGGAAACAATCCAGGAGGTTAGTGATGTTTCTTGTCTGGTTGCCCCGCCGCCCGCCGCCTCCTGATGGCCAAATCTCCATGCTTGATGACTAGTAGTTGATGGAGGTAATGATTCCTGCTGGTCATTCACTAGACCGAGACTCCGAGGACGTGGCCGTGATACCCGTCGGTTGCGTTGACAAGCGATTTTGGGATGCCAAGTGTTGATTTGCAGTTTCGTTACCCCTTGATGGATGAGTTTATCCAAAGCTTCGCCTTTTGACGTGCCTGTACTCCACTATAACTCTCACAATTCTCACTATTCCGCAGGAGAATGTTGATGTATCTTGAGGTAGCTTTTCATGTATCCTGGAGGCACGCCTCTCTACGCCAATCGGGACATTGTAGATTCACGCCCATCTCGTGAGCGCGGAGGCGCTGGCTATTGTATCAAGTTTTTTGACAAGGTCACTGAATGTTCGATTCCGATGGCGCCTGTCTGCTCGTAGTCTGTAGTTTTGATGGAGCGAAAGCGAGATGACATTCATGAACAACATGAAGCGCTGGACTAGCTCTGGCAGACGTCACTTGATCGCCTTAGACCTGAAGACAATGAAGCCCTCCATTATGGTGGATTTATGGCTTCACGGCCTAATAGAGGCTACACCTGAATAGTATTATGTTCACAGAGCAATAACGCTACAAAAGCTACTGGCATCATAATCCACGCGAAGTTTAAGTTAATGTTAGGGAGGGTTAAGAAAGACTTACGGCAGAGCTCTAATGGTCTTCGCAACCTGAAGCTGCGTCGCGTAGCCACGGAAGTTTTTAGTAAAAGCCTCCCGTTGCTGTGAATCACCGCTGCAGACTGCACTGAGAGTCCTTCGAGTTTACGAAATCCATTGCCAATTCCCGCTACAAGTAAGACCGCCCGCATGCTCTCTTATGTTTGGATCAATAAAACTAATCTGTTGAAATCTTTCTACGCCGTCATCATGGCATAATCAGAGAAATCCCAAATGAAGCTCGGCCCTTATCAATAGTGATGTTCATGATTTTCGAGTTGGGGCCGTCGACCGCTAACTCGCATTTGTACTCCCTCTCAAGAAGTGTAACAGAGGAAAGTATTGCATTCTGTCATTGGCTTTGACATGCATGGTATCAGTTTTCTATTGATACAATACCGCCGCTTCATCGTGCAGTCCTTCTTTCAATGCCGTCGGTGGGGTGATTGACAATTGTTGTGTCGTGATATTCGCAACGTGAACACCAGGTACAGCCCGTTCATGGCTCACCAGTTCATGGACAGTCAATAATACCAGCATTAGCGAATGCATCAATATGGCTTTGCAGCGTGCACGACTGACAAAAGATCGTTCAACTAAATTCGATAGTCCAGAAAAGTTGATTTTGTTCTCTCTGTGACCGTTTTCGCTTCCCTGTGTCATTGCTGTCACAGTCCAGAGACGACAGTGTAGTCCATTCAGTGGTTTCTTCAGCGACTGCTCGGCGAGTCAAAGAACTACAGTGTCAAGCCAATTGATCACTTCGGCGTACTGTTCATTTTGACACGGCACATTGCCGCGCGTATCCTCTTTTGAGACACTTTTGTGGAGAGGGCATACTTTCCACAGAGTGCAAGCAAATCCCAAGATATGACTGATGGACGTTCATAGGCTTCGCTCTACGATTGCACTCTTATTCTAGTAGCCTGCAAGGTAAACTTCCACCGTCCCAGCTCGGCCAAGATCCATCACGATTCACCCCTGAATACCTGAAGTGCTTTCGCTATTTGGGTGAGCACCAATCGTTTACTGTGCTGACTTACTCCGGAAGCACAAGCGTAGAAGTCACATTCCGGGCGGAACCCCCGGCACGCGACACGCAAGCTCTGCAGGGCCAATTGACCATTGTTCAAAAAGGCCGCCGTGGGTGCTAAGATAGAAATGGACAGGCGCCCGAATACTGCCCAAAGGGAACAAATATTCGTTCCGACTTTTGGATCCGCTAAAGAAGCATATACGGCAAAGATCTTGACAGCATGGGTTTGTAGTCCGAATGAAACGAGCCAGGGCAAGTCGTGCCGAACGAAAGGGGAGGGGAGGGGATTGGTCATTGGTGGACGAAGGATCGCACTTCGTTTCGAGTCCTGGTCTGAGTGGTCCCATTTCCCACCCTCACCAACCGATTCGACGGCTCGCCGAGGAAAATCTGTGCAAAATCCTTCTCACTCTAGGAGTCTCGCGACTTCGCGTTCATGATCCTTGGCACACTGTTGGTGAGGATTGGGAAAGAGCCAAGATGCAAAAGTAACCAATTGTCCGAAATGAAGTGAACGCGGCAGTGCACTGCCTCCATTCATCTCCATGTCGCCTGCAGGCCTTGAGGAGCCTTTTACCAGGGGTTGAGAGGGTTGGACTTGGTTAAACCCACGTGGGACGCCTCCTTAGATGGGGAGGGGACGCTCCTTGGACAAGGAATTAGAGAGCTTCTAATCTACAAATCTCACTTGTTTCCGGCGCCTTTTTCGCCCCCTTGATCCATAATCTTTGTAGGTCTTCAGGTGAGTGTATTTTGGCGATTCATCGATCGTACTCAATGTAAGGGGTGTTGAAGCTGAATGGTACCACTTAACCGGGTTTTCCGAGCGTGCCATTCTCATATTGTGGGAACAATCACCCACTTTAGAAGTTTAGCATCAGGCGGAGGACGTAAGCGGCCCGCGGACATGGAACACTCAAGATAAAAAATAAGGCCGAACCAATGTCTGTTCTTCGAAATCGCCGCGCACCTAGACGACCTAGTCTCAAGCAGTCCCACGCGTATCGAAGAAAGGGCTGTTACCCTCGGCCGCGACGGACTGGGGCCGGCTCCGGGCTCGAGTGTCGGGCCGGTGGGGGTGGATACCAGGTGGCTCGATCATGGCCCCAGAAACGGCGCCGAACTCGTCACTCAAAGGGTATTGAGCTTACGCGCGTTCTTTGGGGGATCCCGTACCCAGGCGGGCAGTTGATTTGGTGCCGAGTGGTCGGAGACTTGAACAGCCAACCACAGATCCAGAAGAGCTCCCGGCGATGCATGCTTATGCGAGGGATTGCTACCTGGTATGCAGGGGCTCACAGTTGAACCTGTATCTGGGACGGTCGAGATGCTCGGCGCCTTACGCATCTTAGTTTACTGCTCGGAGGATTTCCCATAGTCGTACGCGGTATGTGATCCATCATCCCCCGACTTTGCTTCTTTGAGCACCGGAAAATGTTTATGCTCACGCCCCATGTCACGGACGTAGACGTACTTCCAGATTTTTCGGGTTTGTGTTTGCTCGAACTCAACCACTGGAACGGCATTCCATGTCGATGCGAGTGATTTTAAAGTGCCGCGCAAGTTGCCCAAACGGCATGAATTCGCGGAGCTAAAACCTCTCACGCGGGAAGGGGAGCCTGGGATAGCTAAGAATAGAGGGCATGTCTAGACGAGACAGTTCGCGTGCGGTGTCACCAGGAAAAGCGCGTGCGTCGTAACCGTTGGAGATGTGCTTCCAGGGATCGGGAAGGTGGGAGGCGGTCTCTCTCACTTCCTGAAAGTCCGTTCCCTCGGATTTGGGAGGGCAGAAAAAAGCTAAATGGGTTTAAGGTGGTCGTGTTGGTGGTGGTCCCGAGTATGTTTTGTCCTCCTTTTGCGTCATTCGTGAGAAAGTGAAAAAGAGGGGGGCCGTGTGCGAAGATCAGACGAGACGGTATGTCCTGAGACGACCGTTGTTCGGCACAGGTTTCCCATACCCAGTAAAACTTTTGTGCCGAATATCAAGAGAGATGCTCGGTGCGAGTGTGCCGAAGATGGTGTCGTAAATGATTTGTAAGGTTAACCTTGAAGTGTCCCCCGAAACCTTGGCATGGTTGAGCTTACAGTTGCGTGAACCAACACTGTATTCTTTTTCCGAGAGTTTCTTTCTAGATTTCAGCACAAACGGTCTATTTTGTATTTACGAGAGGGTTCTGGATAGAGTTCCCGTCAAGGTTAACCTCAAGGTTGGGTTGGCAGTCCTCGTCATCGATCTCAGAATTTCGGTTCTTTACCTTCAAGGTTTAAATAAAGGCGGTTAGGCTCGCGAGATCCTCAAAGAGGTGTTCGTTCCGTGTGAGGTAGCCAATCTCCCTTGTGAGGGACCACGAGCAGGTCCAACCGGCCACTTTCTCTTGAGCTTAAGCCTCTGCCCAAAGTCGGGTGGTTAATCCCTTTGGACAGCCTCATCTCACCCATCCGAGCTTTGGGATAATCGGGCATCACGAGGCCTGCAGATGCACCAAGCCACAGTCCGTGACAGCGGCCTTGTTCTCGACCTCCAAAATGCTGTAAATAGGCGAGGGCATATAGTGTTTTCTTCGGCCTATCGTGACTCTTGGCAAGTCGCAGTAATGTCTGGTCGGCTCCCAGGTTGAGAATGTTGGAGGTGACAAGGAATTACCTTGCTTGAAATATGCTTGAATTGATGAAACTCCATTTCCAAGGACGTCAGACACGCAACTCTATCGCGTCACTGTGCTGCCAATTTACCCGCTAGAGCCTATTGCTACTTGAGGTATGATGGCAAAGTGAGTTTAGAGGACGATGGTTCGAGAATACCCCGCAAGAAAAGCGAGGCGCTCGCAGAGCAGACGGCATAACAATACGTGTGGGATGCCACCATGCGTCCCCAAGTTCGAAGAAAGCCTTGACACCTTTCGGGAACTCTGAGTTGGCTTATGACGAGTGCTATAGTTTGACAAAGTCATTTATAAGATGTATAATACCGTGCTAATCTCGTCCAGTCAACCTTAACAGTAATTGACGAGTAGTAAATGTTGAAGGTTTTGGAACACTAACTTTGATGATACTTCAAGTGAAAAGTTGATATTCCGTTGTCGCCACCCAAAGCCTCGCACGAGGCGAGGAATTGAAATCTTCTCCGAAGGTTAACCCGTGAAATACAACCTTCCACGATAGCATTTCCAAAGTCTGAAAAATCTATCCCCAGCATTATGCGGGAAGCGCATGCCGATAATCCATGCCGTTGGGGACGATCAACAGCTGGTTCCTGTATCACCTGTGTCGCCTACGGCTGGGATGACCTGACACTACCCACTCTTTGTCGAAACTCGGGAACCCAAGAGAGCAAGGCATCCTTCCTAACATCTTTGTAGCCAGGGCGTTCCACAGGAACGAACGGCAAGGTTGAGACTTTGAGATTATTATAAGCATACATTTTTGTGACAAAGGGGAGGGTCAAAGAAGGGGCAGGAGTTGGCGAGCTGTCGCGTGGTGATCAAACGATTTCGCGGGCTTGGCGGCGTCGACATGAGACCGCCTGCAACTTGACACGACGATCTTTTCCGAGTGCTACGTTGCGCTACGGCTGCAAGGTGGAGCGAGCTTGAATCAAGCACGACTTTCAAAGATTGACTCTAGACATGGTAGCCGTCGCCAAGTAAGTATCGGAGTTGGGATGAGTATCTTCAAAGTTAATTCATGTTGATCCGGATGTATATCCACAAGTGGATGTAGGTTCGGGAAGCAAGGTTCAGTTCGGAACCAGGAAGTACGATACCGTGTCAAGTCTGCCAGCTCGGTATCGTTTTCTGCTTCGGCAGTAACCTGTCTTTTGATACTGACAGTAAATTCCGAAGTTCCGATCCGAAGCCTCGGGGCTGTCGACATGTAAAGATGGCAACTTATGAGTAGAAAATGTTGAGCAAGATTCCTCATTTACCGGAGGTGTGTCCTAGCGTTGGCCAATCAGACATTAACTCGAAGGACGATCATTGAGGTACGTTGAGTTCGTACTCACAAGAAACGAGAAAAAATATGTTGCAGATATTGCAGTCAAAAGCTTTGCGCCTCCTTGCCTTGGTTGGCGGGTATTTCAAATGCATGTACGGTAAGGTCGGATTGAAATTGGCACATCAAGAAGGACACAGGGCAACATGGAGTACATCAAGCAGCAAGTAAGACGAGATAATAACACGAAGAGTTCCTCAAATATGATCGAGGGTCACACCTATTGCTAAGTTTTGATATACCGGATCACGAATTTGGAAGCAAGAACATCCTACTTGGACCTAAAGCACCAGTGTTGACGATGTGGACTCAACGTACGAGATGACACTAAGATTCCTATCAAACTGCCAGATGTAACTTTGACTATCCATGGCTTTGACGGTTGTATAGATCACTCTAGTGAAGTCTGAAGACAGCATCAGTGGCAACTGTAAGTCATACTACTGTCTTGCAAATTGTTTCTCCCATGTCAAGTAGAGATGGTGCAGGAGATGGTGCAGGAGATTGTAAGAGTCGAGTTTCTTCTCTAATAATATAACCAGACCGACTCGAGTGAAGTGTGTTTGACTGATGCAAGTACTAGGACCCGGGCTACTTGCCTAAGTTTCCTCTTGAAGTGGTTCTTCGCCCCTACATACTGGCAATCCTGAGCCAGTGTCCAGAGAACAAATGCTCAAAGTTACTGATCACTTCCAGAAGCTTGACATCAACTCCAATCTTCCCTCTCTGTTGATTCCTAACTTGTAGAATCTAGAGATGTCTCCAATAGAGATGGGACCTTGTGACAAGGAGCCCTTCCGTTAAATATCAGAGGTACCGCCATCACTGTAACCGCCACCTCGGACTCACTGATATCTGTCGTTAAGCCAAAAAGATTGAAATATCGTCCAGCCTCTGATCTCACCATGTAAGGTGGCATGATGCAAGGCTTCCGCTCTCGGAAGGTATCTGGTAGACCAAAGGGGATGTACCCAGATGCTAGCAACGTAGTTCTCACTGATTTCACCCAGTCCCGACCGATGTGAATAATGACGTGCGATATTTCATCCCATTATATTCGAATATATATGTAGACTGTCCTTGAGATGTTTGAGCGCTCATTGTTGTTCGGCTTCGGCGATATAGTACAATTTGTCAAGCTGGATAGGTTAGTCTAGCCTCGGATGTGACTCAATAGCATGACATGGTTGAGTTCCTTAGCTCAGTTCATCGAATGAATGCCCATAATTTCAACATGAGCAATTTCACAACATCAGTGTCTTTTCTAGATTATCGACACGTCGACAGGTGCTATATGTTGAATTTGACGGCGTCCTTGAAGTCCCCTTACTACCACAACTCGCAGTTGATTCACCCGAGACCCTATTTCGAATCGATGAAGAGCGGCCTCCCATCCTAGTCTACTAGCCTAAGCATCTAGTTCTATGCATAAAAGCTTTGCCTTGTAGCAAAAGCTGTGTTTGCTAATAATATATCGTCTTATAAAATATCAGTATTCCTCCATGGATGATGGTCATGGACTGCATCGACTCTAAGCATCAATATGAACCGATGCAGTGTCTCCTGGGAACTTAGCTGGTGCTCTCATTCGAGCGGCATAGGTTCAAACCAGTTTCCCTTAGTTCTTCGACGATAAAGAGAGCCCTTCATACTTACTGGAGCAAAATTCGTCCGCTGATATGTTCTAATCATCTAAGACAAGAGCTTATTTTCTCGTGGGATCTGGCTTACGATCAAGTTCATTAGATGGTGGCTGTTCAGTGACTTCGGGTAGCTAAGATACCCGTGAACGTATGGATTGGCCGCAGTATCACTCAATTTACTTAGACGCTTTTACCCAAGCACATCATGTCTTGACGTTCACGCCAAGTAATCCGGCGCACGGGAAGCGTGTGAGCATGCCGAGCCACCCCGATGTTGCTTGAATAGCACTGAAAACCCTCTGACGCTGGAAAAGAACTTTAAAGATATTTTAAACGGTAGTTGAAAGATTAGTTTCGTTGGCTTAATGTTATGCTGAAATTCTTAGAAACCAGGTTCGCCCGAGGACCGGCAAGCCCACGAGAAAATACTCCAAGCACTTGTCGATGAAAGCGAATGCGTAGTTCTAGTAATCGCAGTACGGAAGCAGTCTAAAAGTGGGAAAGCTCTTGCGATGTACACATCTTTTGCCATACAAACAGCTCCGGAACATTATTGATCGGCCTTCATTTCTACTCAATGAATTCGATGACATGGATAAGGCGTAATACTTTCTGAGAAAGAAAAAAAAAAACATTGGCATCGTTGAACAAAGCGTGAAGAATGATTGTACCACACTCGTTCAATAAGGTGTCATGCCGGTTGAGGTCCAAAATACACTCATGGATACAGATCGAACCTCGAGAATGACGAGGCAGACGGGTGCGCAGCGATAGACCGTAACCTTTCATGAACAATACCTACTTAAGCTGAATACTTGTGCAGCCGAAGCTTTCTTTTTGGAGAGATTTCTGTCAAGTGACCTGCCGATCAATTTGATTTATAGACCAATGATGGAGGCGATATTAAAGCGCAAGCGGTAAGCATCAATCACGGCCTTTCGGTCGTGGGTGACAACCGCTAGATGCAGGCCCCGGAGCATCCTGAAGTGGGTCCGGAGGAACCTCTGTGTCGTACCGGGTGGGGCCCAATTGCTCCGGAGGTCGGCAGTGGAAACCGTGCCGGCAGCTGTGTTGACAGGTTCTAGGAAGCTGCCGGGGCCTTCAAAGTATTTTTATGACTATGATCTTGTAAATGGAAACGTAGTCTAGTAGGATATGCCCCATTCATCGCGGTTCAGCAGTGACATCAGGATGATGTTGTTAAATAAGGTACAGAAGAGCCATATGCCAGCCGTGGTATTTCCCCAGTCTAGGCGCTAGACTCATATGTAATGAAGTGTTCTTCACTAGGGCAAGGTGAGGAATCACTCACATGTATGCGTCTTTAGGGTGATGTGTGATGATGTGACCTATGTCTTCTAGTTCCCGAATGACAACTGTGCGAGGCCTGAGACACCGGAGTATCCTCTGAAAGCCCCGCAAGTTGTGATGTGCCGGTACGACCAGCGAAGTGTGGAGAAACCTCCAGCCAGGATCTCTTGATTTCTCCACAAAGACTAGGACAACTCGTCACCTGTCTAAGCTCAACACAATGCACTTGGGTCGGTGTATTCCGGTAATGCTGAGTCTCCGGAAGTAGAGTATAAATGGCCTGTCACCCAACGACTTAAGCTACGATAACCCAACCGCAATCTCAGGCTATAATTTTCATTGAGCGCCACCATGTTATCC